CGCTCGAGCCCGGATCAGGGCCGCGGCCCGCGAGAATAATGACAGAATCTGAAAGATTTGCAGTCATTCTGCACCAAAATATCCCATCTGACAGCCCTTCTGGAGGGCGTCCATAAATAAAGACTGTTGACTATTGACAAACGCGGCGCTTCAAAGCCGAGCGTCCTCGTGAGGAATGGAGATGAACTGAGATATTGATGCCGATTCGTTAAACTTTTATCATTTTTGTTCGCATTGGCTGCCAGTTTAGAGGGAAGCCCTGGTTTTGTGTCAATATCTTCATTTTATGCACTTTTGCCTGAAATATTCAGCAGCTGCGTCTCCTGACAGAACCCGGTTTACTGTAAATCTTTTGTTTCTCATCAGGGGATGTTTTCAAACGCATCTGAACGACGTCGCTTTCGCGGCGAGGCCGCTGTGGCAACTTCACATTATTAAGGTTCATTTGCGCCGAAAATGTTGAATTATTAAGTGTGAATAAGCGCGTTCTCCCACGCGCGCCTCGCTCGAGCGCGTCCACATGCGCTGAGCTCAAACTGTGCCCGACATAATCTCATCTAAATGTGTTCCCTCTCGCTTTCCGCTAGCCTGTTAGAGTAGATAAAAATATTAAAGCTATCTGCCTTCAGATGAGATTAAAACACTCACCCCGGGTTCAATCTCATATGCAGCTCTTGACAGAAAGACATGTTGAGCTGTCTGTGAATATGGGCTTTCATTTAAAGTCAGAGAGTTAGTGGAGAGCTGGAACGAGGCGCGTAAACATCGGGCGTCAGGCCATCCACGCGCTGATGGATGGCGGGAACGGAAAGGCTTTCTGACTGTCAGATCAGGGGCTGACGATAAATTACAGCCACGCTCATGTCCGTTAGTACTACAGTCAATTAATGACGGAAATTACATTCAATCGCGATTTGGAATGGGGAGGGGGTGATCAAGTTCGAGTAATCAAACTTTACATTTGCATGCATTAAATATGTTCCCAGGCTAGCAAAAAAGTTCTAAAACGTTCTGCTAATGTTCCCATTAAGTTCTGAAAACGTCATTTCTGAACGTTCCAAACATTTTGGATTCAAAATTCCAACATTCCATTTGGTCATTTTGCAAACGACGAATGTTCTCTGAACGTTCAAAAACAAGTAGGGCATATTTATAGTTTGATTCATACTGCATATGAAACTGGAAACTTTCTCGATTAGAAAAAACTCGAAACTGATTGTTTGGCTTCTGTTCAGCAGATCGGGTTAACACTATGGACGATCTAATCAAATCTTTGAGTTTGGAGAAATACTGAGAAGGCCAACTTTTGGATAAAATAATAAATTATTATTAGAATGTGACACAATTTTATTAATTTACATTGAATGTATTTTTAATTAAATTATTTCATGTCAGTGATATAATAGACTGACATGAAATGCATTATTCTATGTCTAATAATATATATATATATACACTCACCGGCCACTTTATTAGGTACCCCATGTTAGTAAAGGGTTGGACCCCCTTTTGCCTTCAGAACTGCCTCAATTCTTCGTGGCATAGATTCAACAAGGTGCTGGAAGCATTCCTCAGGGAGTTTGGTCCATATTGACATGATGGCATCACACAGTTGCCGCAGATTTGTCGGCTGCACATCCATGATGCGAATCTCCCGTTCCACCACATCCCAAAGATGCTCTATTGGATTGAGATCTGGTGACTGTGGAGGCCATTTGAGTACAGCGAACTCATTGTCATGTTCAAGAAACCAGTCTGAGATGATTCCAGCTTTATGACATGGCGCATTATCCTGCTGAAAGTAGCCATCAGAAGTTGGGTACATTGTGGTCATAAAGGGATGGACATGGTCAGCAACAATACTCAGGTAGGCTGTGGCATTGCAACGATGCTCAATTGGTACCAAGGGGCCCAAAGAGTGCCAAGAAAATATTCCCCACACCATGACACCACCACCACCAGCCTGAACCGTTGATACAAGGCAGGATGGATCCATGCTTTCATGTTGTAGACGCCAAATTCTGACCCTACCATCCGAATGTCGCAGCAGAAATCGAGACTCATCAGACCAGGCAACGTTTTTCCAATCTTCTATTGTCCAATTTCGATGAGCTTGGGCAAATTGTAGCCTCAGTTTCCTGTTCTTAGCTGAAAGGAGTGGCACCCGGTGTGGTCTTCTGCTGCTGTAGCCCATCTGCCTCAAAGTTTGACGTACTGTGCGTTCAGAGATGCTCTTCTGCCCACCTTGGTTGTAACGGGTGGTTATTTGAGTCACTGTTGCCCTTCTATCAGCTCGAACCAGTCTGGCCATTCTCCTCTGACCTCTGGCATCAACAAGGCATTTCCGCCCACAGAACTGCCGCTCACTGGATGTTTTTTCTTTTTCGGACCATTCTCTGTAAACCCTAGAGATGGTTGTGCGTGAAAATCCCAGTAGATTAGCAGTTTCTGAAATACTCAGACCAGCCCTTCTGGCACCAACAATCATGCCACGTTCAAAGTCACTCAAATCACCTTTCTTCCCCATACTGATGCTCGGTTTGAACTGCAGGAGATTGTCTTGACCATGTCTACATTTGCCGCCATACAGTTGCCGCCATGTGATTGGCTGCTTAGAAATTAAGTGTTAACGAGCAGTTGGACAGGTGTACCTAATAAAGTGGCCGGTGAGTGTATATATATATATATATATATATATGAAGAGTTCAGATGCAAAAGCCTCTAAATGCCATTTGAAATTTTCTTCTTTAATGATGATTTTTATCAAACTTGTATATTTAAGTTCAGTGATTTCACTTAAATGGCAATGATTATTACCTATTAATTGTTATTTAAGTGAAATTACTGAACTTAAATATACAATTTTGATAAAAATAATCATTAAAGAAGAAAATTTCAAATGGCATTTAGAGGCTTTTGCATCTGAACTCTTCATATATATATATATATATATATATATATATATATAAATTTTACATAGCCCGCCGTATTTTATGCTGTTGATATATAAGAACAGCATGAAATAATAAATGTATTTGATATGATAACAGACTTAGCATACAATAAATGTATTCATTAATTAATAATAAATGCATAATCAATAATAAATATTAACTTTATTCTATGCCTGCGCAGTATGTGTTTCAAATAAACTGACCCTTAAATGGCACAGCTTTACACATCGATTAGACGTTTCCCATTTAAGTGGACTGGCAGTCTTGGCCCAAATAAGCATGCGAATTAAACTTTATGTTGTAATCAAACGGCCTGACTATAATGCAAGGCTAGTCTTGACCAGGAGTTAACACTGCAGCGCATCTTCTCTGTCATGTTAGCAGCGTGCTAATCACACGGCAGGGGCTCCATCGCTAAAAACAAGATCTTTAGTGCTCCTTGACCCCCACGGAGCCTTTGATTGAGTCATCATGCTTCAAGATGTCCGAAACCTCCAGCGTCCCTGCCGTCTTGACGCACAGCGCTGCCTCCTCTGCAGTTTTGCTGTTTATGCAGCTTAATTATGATTGGGCTTTGCTGCGTGTCGGTTTGAAGTGCAGTAATGAGTGGAATCAGGGCTTTTTTCTCCCTTTCTTTCGGAGGTGTGCTTTGAATGTCGTCGTCTTCAATCAGCCGCATGTGTCTGGGCCTGTTCAGCGATGTCAAGACGGAGGACGTTTCATCTATTTTTAGGGTTTATTTTGTGTTCTCCTCTTCGGGAAGGATCTTTGGCCTTCTGTCCCGCACGTCTCCGGATCTGCGGGTTTTAATAACAAACAGAACGTCAGTTGAAAGGCATTCGAGATGCGTTTTAATGTGACAGTGTTTCAATTTATACTCGCTGCGACGGTTAAACATTTCTGGTCGGTTTCTTTGTGTCAACTTGATTTCGAGTTGTCTGTGTGTTGTGTGTCTTTAAAAGGACACCGAAGTCATCCCGCAGGGGTTCTTGTAAAGGTAACGCCGACATTTGCACATGAAAGTCCTCATCATTCAGATTTATACAAATATTTTCTTGTGAATTTAATCCATATCATCAAGTTGCTTTGGGACACAGCTCACACAACAAAGCGTGCAATACTTAGCTCTAAGAAATATTAATAAACAACAAAAACTCGGACAATATCAGTGAGTACAAGTGTAGTGCCTGTGACACTGACCTATGAGGCGTACTGGTCTCATATTGTTGCTGAAGTGCTATTTAGTAGGGCTGTCAAACGATTGTTAACGATTAATCTAGGGCTGTCAAACGATTAATTGCGATTAATCGCATCCAAAATAAAAGTTTGTGTTTACATAATATATGTGGGTGCACTGTGTATAATTATTTTATATATATATATATATATATAAATACACACACATGCATGTATATTTGAGAAAAAAAAATTTTTTTATTTATATATAAAATATATAATATAAATTTTATATAAATCTATATACTTTATATACATAAAAAATATTTCTTAAATATATACAAGCATGTGTGTGTATTTATACATACAAAATAATTATACACAGTGCACCCACATATATTATGTAAACACAAACTTTTATTTTGGATGCGATTAATCGTTTGACAGCCCTAGATTAATCGCATCCAAAATAAAAGTTTGTGTTTACATAATATATGTGGGTGCACCGTGTATAATTATTTTGTATATATATAAATACACACACATGCTTGTATACATTTAAGAAATATTTTCATGAATATACTGCATATGGATATATAATATAAAGATATAGTAGAGATATAGTAATATAGAGATATAAATATTTTTATATAAATAATATTTTTTTCTTAAATATACATGCATGTGTGTGTATTTATATATATATATAAAAAATAATTATACACAGTGCACGCACATATATTATGTAAACACAAACTTTTATTTTGGATGCGATTAATCGCGATTAATCGTTTGACAGCCCTAGATTAATCGCATCCAAAATAAAAGTTTGTGTTTACATAATATATGTGCGTGCACTGTGTATAATTATTTTATATATATATATATAAATACACACACATGCTAGTATACATTTAAGAAATATTTTCATGAATATACTGCATATAGATATATAATATAATATACATATATATATATATATATATATATACACACAGTGCACCCACATATATTACGTAAACACAAACTTTTATTTTGGATGCGATTAATCACGATTAATCATTTGACAGCCCTAATAAACTAGACTAGAAGTTGTTCCCTTTGGAGGGAATTTCTTTACGACCTTTTGTTCAATCCAGCCTTTGAACATGTCTTTTGATTCAGTGTTTAACGAAAGAATCTTCAAGATTATAATAATACTAACGCGTCACAAAGTTAGCAAAAGCCTCAAGGTTGAGTACTTTTGACCTCTAGATATTCAGTTTGTGTTTCAGTTCAAGTTTGTGTGTGTTTGTGGATTTCCACCGAGCGCCGGTGTAATTTGCTGTGATGTAACCCGCTGACGTGTGCAGAAGAAATCAGGCCTTAAACCCCAGAGGGCCGCAGTGACCCACACACCTTCGCACACGCAAGCACAAAACTACAATTTCACACACACCTACACGCTGCGACTGCACAAAACTCATAATCACACAGGAAAAAAAAAACTCACTCATGAGATCTCCGTTGTTTCTGCTTGACATCGATGAAGAGAAATCCTGAAGATGGTCCTCTAGAGTTTCAAAAGAGATCTCGACTCGAACTGGATCAAACGGCGCAAAACATGTCAGAGATTAGAATATCGCTTTTTAGTCATTTTTATGAAA